CCTCGAACATGGCTTTCATCTCTGATGTTGAGGAAGAAGGTAAGCATTTGGTTAATTGTTTGCAGGCTTCCATTAAAGTTGTCAGCACATTTGTGGAGTTAAAGCAGACAGTTAAGCAGGACAGCAGTGCAGCAGAGCACAGTAGTTTTTGTCCTCTTCCATTCAGAAGAGTTGGCAGAGCTGGACTAAAATCTGCTCATCTTCCTTTGCAGATAAAAACCCAGAAGTGACCTGGGAAGGACTCCTTGCAGGGAGTTTTGTCATACACAAAGACCCACTGCTCTGTGCTGCAATGAAAGGGCAGTATCCTCGGGTTGCTTCCAGCCATCCAGCACATGGGCAGTTATCAGGGTACCTGCCTCAGCCAGGTGCATTCTGTTCATTCTCACTCACTGGGCACCCTTTACAGTTGTCAGTGTCAGTGCACTAATTTGGGATGCTTCCCAGCCCATTCTTCTGGCAGGGGAACTCGGCTGTGCTGAGTGACAGAGCTATTCTGTCATATTCCATATGTTCCATAAGACCATATATCATACAAGAGTGATAGTAGCTTCTAGAAGGCCCTTCATACATGCTTACATCACCTCCATTCATAGCAACTGACAATTGCAGCAGTGAGCTCTGTCCATCAGGCATCATGTCACTGCTAATTCTCACCAAGCAGCCCTGCTTTCCCACTTGTGCATTGGATGCAGCATGCTCAATGGGCTTTTCTGGCTAGTTTTATGGCAGACAGTCAGTTATTGACTATAGACTATTGTCTATTTGGTGATAAGAGCTCACCTTCCCTGCCAGCCTGCTGAGAGTTCAGCATCCAACCACCCAAATGACAACAAGCAAGGCTACTCTAGAAGAAATTAGTCTGTAAAACATATAATACCTATGCATAGTTGCAGTATACTAGAGTAGTTTTCATCCTGTTTAACCTGGTGCTGTAGTGAGGCGTGTTCCCTCCTGACTTTCACATAGTGCCGTTAAAGGTCTGTTGGTGTTCAATATAGGAAAGATGCTCTCAGAAAAGACATTCCATTCATAAACATGCCTTTGTCTGACAAGAAGTGTCAGAGTCAGTTAAGAGGTAGAGCTGCTCCTTGTTTTCTCATTGCCCATAAGAAATGACAAAAAGACATCTTTGAATCAACAAAGAAAGACCAGTACGTAGAATAGACCTTCCTACACTTGGTGCATGGTCCAGGCAGCTTTGAATCCAAACTTCAGAAAACCTTGTCAGTTTTTACATCACAGATGAAGTTCTCTTCATGCATAATTGTCTTGCATAATTTTTCTTGGGCTTTCTGAGCTACGTTGATCTCAGAAAAGTATACTCCTGACAGTTCAACGTGATGCTAAGCTTCACGTGGGTGGTACAGGCTGGCTAACAGCATGACTTAAGTGAAGTGTGGATACTCTGTACCACAGTAGCAGTGTAACCATGGAAGTGTACAAAGGAAACATCCCTGACTACAAAGATGGTTGATTTCTCTGAAGAGATTCTCTTTTCTGATGAGTAGACCAGCTGGAATAAAGTGGAAGAAGTTTCAAAACCAGATTCTGAGGCAGCAGCATCTGATTTGCAGACAGTTTTATCTGCTACGTGCTTTTCCAGGGCTTTGATGGCTTGGCATAATCATCTTAAAATCTCTGATCTCTCCAAAAGACACTATTTTCCATAGTAAAAGATGTCTCTCGCCTATGGTATTTTTGGCAGATGCCTCTGTGGATGTGATGTGTAATAGACCTAGCATCCAGCCCGGTTGCCAGATGTCATATTTGGCATTGCCTTTGGATTGAAGATAATGATGCTAAGCAGATCCTCTCTGCTTTGAAGCTTACTAGCTGTCAGTTTGTCAGTGAACCACTGGAAAAAGCAGTAGTTGACAATGTAAGGAAGATCAGACGCCCCTTTTAACTCAAAGCAAAAGCTGCTTCCAAAAGTTCAGATTCCTCATTTGCCAGCAGCCTCAGCAGAAGTACAACAGGACTAATTCTTCCTTAGAATGAGTTAAAGCCCAGAACAACTAGAGATAAATCCTCTGTGTGCAACGGCGGTTGTTTTTTTCTTCCCTTTCCTAATGCTGCCTGTGAACTCCAGTAGTGATCTCTCACCAGGATTGAGTTGACTGTAATCTTTTTCCCTTCTAAATAGCAAAAGTATGAGGGATCTTGCAGAGAATTAGTCATATCAAGTCACTTTTCCTCAATTCCTTAATAGCTAAGCACCCATTAAAGTAAAGTAAATCTCTGCTCAAAAGAAAACTCACATACTCCAACTTAAGCAACAAAAGTGGAAATAGAAGTGATATCACAAGAACTGCAGGTGTCAGAGCTCTGTTTTCCTGGTCATGAAGAGATGGTGCAGCTAGGCATGCATGATGAAACTGAAAAAAAACAGCAGTTCCTTGCATTGATTTGTTGGGATTTTTTTTTTTCTTCTCTAAACAGATTTAACAGTATTCCTGTGGAATCCTTCTGGCTTCACGTATTTAATGGGAGTTGTCTGCCCACATCAACCAACCAATGGTAAATCGCTTGTCTGCTTCTATGCTCAATGGGCTTTTCTGGCAAATTTTATGGCAGCCAGTCAGTTATTGAACAGTCAGTTTTACAGACTGTTTCCTAAACAGGCTGTTCTTTCCATATCCATTAGCAGTGTATCAGATCAGCAAAGGGGTGGATCTGCTATCTCAGCCAGTCTCACTGCCCCTATTAGTCTGGAAGCAGAGATGAAAAGCTGGGCTTCAGTACACAAGGACAGCTTTGTTCCTGAAGACTCGCTGGGGGTAATTGGCTTTGAACCTTGTACTTATCCTTCTTTCTTGTCCACAAAGATACAACACCTTCAGATAGGGCAAAAGCATTTCTAAAACATCTCTTCTAGTGCAAAGCTACTCTTTATCACACCCAGCCCACAACACCAGCAAAAGGAAGTCAGCGCAGTAGAGGAGCCTGGGCTCAGAAAAAAAAAAAAAAAAAAAAAAAGATTTAACCTCTCTATACTGTAAGGAAATCTTAAGTATCATTCATTTTCAACCTAAATGCAGGACAGTGAAATGCTACTGTCAGCTAAGGGACATTAGATGGTCCTTCAAAGGACAAAATCCTGGACAGAAGTTACTCTGTGGGAGACACTTTCAGTATCTGATACCATCTTCTGTTTTATGTAACACGTTCATATTTTAACATCAGCGGATGTACCCTTCAGATCTGGGATATCTAATGATTTATCCTCTTGTGAATAAATTTATTACTTCCTCCGTCCTGTCCATAAGGAAGTTAGAAGAAAGAAACTTTTCCAACTTATAATTTTATGTCAATCAGTCCAGTGACTTTTAAATAACCAAAACAGTGTACACAGATAGATGTAATGAGAATGAGATCTAAAGATTAGAGTGTATCTTTAGCCTGTTCAAATCATTTATAGCTGTGCATGGTTATTTCTTATTGGTTGGCATCTCAGATGTCAATGTTTTCAGTGTTTCCTTCAAAGTATTTAAGCTGACAGTCTATATGGAGAGATGATGCAGGTGATCAGGCAGGACCATTGAAGACATTTTAAATCAAACAGGAAGAGAGTGCATTTCATTCACTCATTCCCTGTGGTGACTGAAAGGTAAAGACATTCAGATTGGCTTCGTATTCAGAAAGAACAACCTTCAATTTTTATGGAAATAGATTGTGTTTATTTTAATTTCTGTATGTGGACTGAAGTGCATTTGTTTCTGACAGCAAAACGTGGAGACAAACTATGCCAGTGTTAAAGGAGGTGGTATCACTACCATGTTCTAAAAGTGATTCCGGTGATTGCATTTTTTTGATGCTTTGATAATAGAACCATGGAATCACAGAATGGCTCCGTCCCCTAGCCACCAGATAGGGCTGCCCAGGGCCTCATCTATCTTGGCCTTGAAAACTTTCAGATACAGCGCATCCACAGCATCTCTTCTCAGCTTGTGCCACTACCTCAGTGCCCTTTGAGTAAAGAATTTCTTTCTAATACTGAATCTAAATCATAGAATCATAGAATCGCTCACATTGGAAAAGACCTTAAAGATCATCAATTCCAACTGCAAACTAACCGTGCTACCCCATACTCTATTCTCTTTAAGTTCAAAACAATTACCCCTATTCCTTTCACTACACTCCCTGACAAAGTCCCTCTCCAGCTTTCCTGTAGATTCCCTTTAGATATCAAAAGTCCCAGTGAGGTCTCACCAGAACCTTCTCTTTAAGCTCAACAAGTCCAGCTGTGTCAGATTTTCTTAAAAGAGAGGTGCTCCAGCCCTCTGATCATCCTCACTGTCTCCCCCGGACCCTCTCCAGCAGAACCATTGGAGTCCCCAGAGCTGAATACAGTACTCCATGAGAGAAGAAGAAGAAAATCCCCTTCCTCAACCTCCTGGCCACTCTTCTTTTAATACAGGCCGGGTATGATTGGCTTTCTGGGCTGCAGGTGCACACTGTCAGCTCACCTTGAGCTTCCCAACAGCCCCAGGTCCTTCTCCTCAGGCCTGCTCTCAATCCATGCCATGCTCAGCCATCTTGAATTTGCCCCAGCTCAAGTGCAGGACCTTGGCTTTGTTGAACTTCATGTATTTTCCATGAGAACACCTTCCAAGCCTGTCAAAGTCCCTCTGGATGGCATCCCTTCCCTCCTAATACTCCAAATTAAGTTCTTATGGTAAACAGGATAAACATGTAAATGCTATAAGCATACTAGATGTTATGTTTCCATGTTTGTGATTTTCTACATTTCCTAACCATCTTGCATTTCCTATTTTCAAATTACATTTACAAATATTTCCCAGACATTCCAGAGCTTTTCTTTTCCTTTTTTTCTTAAAGCGACACCCACCTTCATAGCTCTGTCCAAGATTATGTCGGATGATGTTCACTGGCTGCTCAGGAAGATTTTTGGATGGTGACTGGCTGTTGGATACCAAGGAGTTGGCGTAATGCCACTGGCATTCTCCATTTGTCTGCAGCGTACTCAAGAAAAATCGAGCCACTTCACAAGGATTGCCTTGAGATTGCCCAAACTTAGGAGGCAGCATTTGCTTTTTGCTGCTGAAGACATGAGAGTCTACAGGGAAGTGTCCATAATGGTAAGAGAAAGGCAAGCTATATGACGGGGCATATAAAAGTTCACTGTTTTCTGAATGAAAGTTTTGTTCTTGAATGGTGGCAGCGTTCACTGCAGGGCTGGATCGCCAGTTTCCCACCTGGCTGCATTCCAGTTTGTCTGTTTGGAATGAGCTGTATTGCTGGGGGAAAGAAAAAAAATGAGGGGGAGAGAGTTAAATGACTAAATTTAATATGAAACAGCATAACATGTCATAAAGGCACCCAAAGCTGGGCCTCCTTGAACTGCAATCTCACTGGCTAAAGGGACTGGCTTGCCATGCGTTTAAGATTCTTTATCTTCACTGTGGTTTACCTTCACTTAACACAGAAACAAAGAACAATTTTGACATCCTAATGCTAAGGTTTTATTTGATAATTTTGCCAGTTGGATTTTAGCTAGTAAATGTAGGCAGTTGCAAATAACAGAGAGCATGAATTTGCTGCAAAGCACAGGAAGTTACTGATTAGTGGAGTTACATACCATGAATATGTTTTGACTGAAGTGTACGTGCTAGCTTCATTCAGTACTTTTATAAGATAATAGTAGTCCCTCTCAGCAAAGCCTTAGAATGTCTCATGTTTTGTATCAGTCTCACCAACCCTGTTTCATGATCTTCACTGTTTCCCTTCCCATCTAGTTCTAACTCACCCAGAGACATTGACAGATATCCCAAATCCCATCCCAATGGTGTGTTTTCTAGGACTCCTTTTTATGAAGCCTTCTCTGGCAAAAGGAAACTGCCAGTATCTTTGTGACATTAAAAAATCTGCGCATCAACAGTGAATGAGATGCGTTCTACCCTACAACTGTCCTTAATACATTGCTTTCCTTTTTTTTTTTTTTTTTTTTAACCAAGAAAACATGTTGGGTTTTTTAAGGACTTTATATCCTCCAAATCCAAAAATCTTTCTGTTTGCCAACTTGCCAGTGTTGTTTTGTACTGCTTGTGCTGTCCACCCCAAGAACAAAAGGTTCGCATTGTATGCTGGCCTACAAAGGAGTTCCTGCAGAAGAGCATACTGTAGTCGGTTGTACAGTAAGTTCAGCTACAGAGGATCTCTATCCTGGCTCAAGGACTCTACCAAAATAACTGCAGGTAAATACCGCCAAGAAAGTTACCTGTTGTGGGTAAGGCGTTGTTCTGAGTTTTGCCTTCATTTTGTTACTTTTGGGTTTTACTATTTTCCTTGTTTCCTGCGAGGTAGATACTGAGTTTCTGCATGAAAACTGTGACTTAGAAATGGTAACCTGGTCCAGTGACAACTGAAGTTCCTTATACTCAATATCTCTGCAAAAGAACAGTCCAATAAATTACATATTCAGAACATACCACAAATATAAAATAGCTCATTTGAAAATACGTATTAGCATTCACGATGTTTTCATTCTTCTAAGATTCTCACTGAGTCTGCTCAGATGAGAATGCTGGCAAGCAGTGAATTTTACAGTCTGACTGTTTTCATGGGAGTCTATCACAAACATTCTGCTGGGTTAACAGAGTTGACATCTTTGCACTAGATGTCCCTGCTCTCTGGAATTATTGTTCTCAGCCATCTGTGGTACTCTGTATTTTGGAGTCATAATCACGTCATCTGATAGGAAGACATGGATCAATTAATCTGTCTCCTCAGTCAGGAGCTGGTCTCTTCCCTGTTCGCTCACAGCTTGCTCTGAGGAGAGGCAAAAGAGCAGTGTTCCGTTCCCAACAGCACAGTACCCTTGTAGCTAGACCAGAGGAAATGCAATGCTGTTTTTCTGACAGTCTCTAGAATTTAATTTCTCCACTGTTGTGTTCAGTTTCATTTGTTCTATATACAGGGCAGACTGCTACAAAAGAGGATAAAAAGCAAAACAAGAGCAAGCTGTGAATCATCTACTGAAACAAAAATTAATATATTTTTGATGAGTAAGTTGTCTTCTCTGTTTTTGTCAGTAGAAACAATGGAATATATTTGTGAAAGGAAAACTAGAGGAAAACCTACTTCTCAGTTCCTATCTAGAATTAATTTCTATGCTTCTTGGTGAATAACGTGGAAGTAAATTCAACTCAAGATTATGCTCTTATGACCCTGGCACAGTTTCCTTAATCAGTGCCCCAGCTCCTGGAACTCATGCTGGCTGTGGGACTGAGTATCTCCTTGGTGCTGTTATCTCACAGCAGTACAGGAATGAGCATAGTACTGCCCAGTGTATCTATCAGGGTTGAATACCTGCTTTAGGTAGGTTAAGGTAATACACTGTGGTTGCTAGCTCTTATGCTTCAGCTCTTCAAGACCAAGTAATAGATACAGAATTATAACACACAAACACAAATGACCCCACCTCACGTCATGCAAACACAATTTACTCTGATGCAAGTTAAGAAATGAACAAACCTAGACAAAAGAGTGTGTAGTTCCTTGCCTTCTTCCACTGTTGTTCAATCCAATGGTGCTCACTATCTTTTTTTTCTTTAACAGATAGTTTTTTTCAGGCACAGTCTATTTCACTATTACTTATCCCACTTATCCCATGTGGATTTCTGTCTCTCTTAGGCTTATATCATGATAAGAGTTTTGTAATACCTTTGTGGCTTGAACCAGAAATCAGAAATAGCAGGCCCAAAACATTGCACATTCACAAGCTCAGTGGGAGCTGTTTGTCATTGTGTTCAGCGCAAGTGAGGGAATCCTTGGTTATCCACCTATCCCCCAGAGGAGTAACATTTTCTACTATCTACTGTCTCATGAACTGACACTGCGATCTCTGCTAAGGAGCACTGTGTTGGGATAGCACCACTGTTGTTCTGACGATAGTTGCAGAACTGGGATCCAGACCTAACACAAATAGCTACCAGTGGTGCTGTGCACTCAAACATGCAGTATATGAAACAGTCATCATAAATACAAGCTTTTTTTTTTTTTTTTTTAGCTCAATAAGCTTTTATAACTAAAACAGGGAGGATATCAGGAGAGCACAGTGGCTGAAGCATGCAAACACAAAATGATAACGGAAGACACAAGAAAAACAAACTCAAAGGATTTAAGTAATGAATCAATTACCGGTAACAGGTAATGGTACAAAGTATTTTGACTTACGTAAGGACATAATTGACACTCACTATGCAGTGAGGCCGTGATGAACGGCTGTTATGGACAATAGTAGCGTAGCTCTGCACCCAAACCCAGCCTCCTTGTTTGGACAGTAGTCGATAGTACTTGGTTGTTACTTGGCCTTTCACCAACACTGTGAGTAAAATACAAAAAAAAGCATTTCACATTGATTGGAGTTATGACCTAGAGATTCCCTGGAGAGATTTATTTGCAAGGGAGGGACTTCTCTTCCTCCTCCTCCTCTCTTAGACTTCCTTCTCCCACAGAACTTCAAATAACTTATTTGCACAAGCGTCTACCCTACTCCTTTATATAGTTTCATGATGTCACATTGTTTACAAATAGTATGTTGTGAACTATTCAAGTTTGTTTTCCATTCTTCTCCAGTTCACCCTACTTTTTTCCCTCTTATGTTCTGCAAAAGCATTTTCTGTTTCTAATCCTCTGATTGAAAAGAAGTTCAAGGCAGCAGAAGTATTTCAAGTGGACACAACATTCTAGTGTATTTGGAAGAACTTTCCGTATTCACTGCTGGAAAGATAATTGTGTATTTTGCTGTGTATTTTATGCTATGTTGCTATGACCCTTCTTTCTCTGTGAGCTCTACATTTCAAAGTTTAACTCTAAAGAGGAAAATTAAAATGCTCTTCAGTTCTTAAACACGCAAAGGAAGGTGGGGCCAGAGGGATAAATCAGTTATCAGATAGATTTCACTAAAAATATAATCCTCTAGACAACCTGAATGCTCCGTGAACTAGAACATTTTTACATAAGGCAATGCTATAATAAGAGTTGTGTGGCATCTCTAAATATTTAATTTAGCCACAAATGTCTCTGGTTCATTGCCAGGCATTTATCTTACGATTCACCAGAAGATAGTTAGCAGCCTTCAACTGTTCTTTTTGTCTTGTGAAAACCTAAAGTATTCTATTAGGAAACCCCATCTTCTCACTCTCCCATGCAATCGTTCACTTTAAATTAGAAAATAGTCTTGACACTCAAACTATTGCAAGAAAAAAACGATCTTTTTAAAAAAAGATTAATAGCAGAAATTCCTTGTAGCCTTGTATAATATATGACAAAAGAATCAAATTACTGCTTACAAATGTAGAGTTTGTATTACACTGAACTCTTTATCAAACCTGAATCTACTTTTGTGCTCTCAGGATATGAGCTTGGTGAAGAAGCAGATATTTAATAAGCCTAAAAACCAGCAGTTTCCTTTTTCAGCCAACTCCACTAGAGCAAACGATCACTTGAAATAAAAATATACAGACTTAATTAGTATTCATATAAGATTCTTCTGACAGAGAGGGCATCCAGCATTAAGCCAAGAACAAAAAAAAGTGAAGTGTGTGATCATTTTTTATTTGTTTTATTTGCTACTGAATCATATGGCTATCAGTCATCACTGGAGTTGGCTTTTTTTTTTTTTGTTCACTTCTTACTTGGGAGAGTGTACATCTGTAACTTCGATACCAATTAGAGATTGCAATAATGTGGATAACAAATAGTCCAATGGAAGACTGACAAACAGAAGCAAGATTTCTTCTTGGTAAAAAGCCCTTTAAGTCTGTTGCGTATGGGTGCTCTCTCTGGACAGTTTGCTCTCAGCAGAAGATAGAGCATAATTAGACTTTTCATCAAATCCAGAAAATTCCCCTAAGAAAATCAAGCTCTTACTTAATTTTTATAGACAGATCTTTCTGGAAACATTAGTTCTTCTTCCATTGTCATAGAATCATTTCACAGAATCACAGAATGGATTGGGTTGGAGGGGACCTTAAAGTTCTAAGTTCTAAGCTGTGCCATGGGCAGGGCTGCCCCTCACCAGCTCAGGCTGCCCAGGGCCCCATCCAACCTGGCCTCGAGCGCCTCCAGGGATGGGGCACCACAGCTTCTCTGGGCAGCTGTGCCAGTGCCTCACTGCTGCTTCAGCAAGAAATTTCTTTCTAAAATCTAACCTGAATCTCCCCTTTCAGTTTAAAGCCACTCCTCCTTGCCTTGTCACTATCTGACCATGTAAAATGTCGATCCCCCTCCTGCTTATAAAATCCCTTCAAGTACTGGAAGACCTAACCAAGACCTCCCCAGTGCCTGCTCTTCTCCAAGCTAAACAAGCCCAGTTCCCTCAGCCTGTCCTCATCAGAATGATGCTCCAGCCCTCTGATCATCTTTGTGGCCCAACGCAACAGCTCCACATCTTTCTTGTGCTCGGGACCCCAGGTCTTGACACAGTTCTCCAGTCAGGTTCTCACAAGGGCAGAGCAGTGGAGACAGTTCCTATCCCCTCCCTGCTGTCCATTGCTCTTTTGATGTTGCCCAGGATACTGTTGTCCTTCCAGGCTGTAAGGGCACACTGCCAGCTCAAGTGCAGCTTATCATTCATCAGAATCCCCAAGTCCTTCAGCATAGGGTTGAATTATAGGATATGGCACCCATTTGTTCAGAAATCAAGGAGATAAATAAAAACATCTTGCAGGACATTCAAAAACCAATCTCTGCTAACAACAAACTACTGCTTTTTAGAGTTTGAAGTTTCTATATACGAGATTTTACTTCATACTTGCAGATGTTCTTTCTCATGCCTGCATTTCTTCTCAGAATACTAAGGTGGAGGGTGATTGAGGGTGCATATGCACAGATATTGAAAAAAATAATGGGGAAAATGTATGCAAGTTTATAAACAAACCCACAAAATATATAGACATTTATCCTGTTTAAGTGCAACGTATCTCACAAAGATAAATGCGTTGCGCTTGCTACTCAGCAGTCAGTGTAACAATGCCACAGAAGCCTGTTCTAAAAATATTTGTTAATAACCAATACTGTGCCCTGAAATCGCAATGTTTCTTGTGGTTCTGTATTCCAAATTTTACAGTTCTAGAAAAAGGGGCTTATATTTTTGCCCAGATCATTTAACATATTTTTTCTAATGTGGCTTCCATCCTTCAAAACAGAATCTAATGGTCTGATGTTTTGCTAGCTATCATGAAGTTCATCCAGAAGCTTTGGGATCAGTTCTGACCTTTCTTTCTCTCTAATTCCTTTTTATTTTTTTTAAATCCCTGTTTTAGCTCTCCAGTTAAGACAGGACTGTAAAAGATGTAAAAACCACTGAGTACT